TTAATTAGCTATGTTTTTGGAACATAGATGCTAGGATACAAGAGCATGTACTTTTTGAATTTTTGAGTTATGTATTTCACGTTATAGACTCTTGTATTATGGACCTTTGTGGGGAAAACATGTATTCTATGTATGAAATATGTGTTATATGCAATGTATGGATTTGGGGTTGTTACAGTTTTGTTTGATTTGGTTTTTCAATCAAACTTTAAACCTATTAGACCAACAAGCTTAAGGCAGAGAATACCAAAATAAGTAAACGATTGTTGGAATGCAAATAACGCTCGAGTGCTTTCTCCGCTTGAAGCAAGGGTGGAATCTGCCGTATCCTCAATTGAGCTTCCACAATCGTATCATTCAGTTCACTACACATGGAAGAGTGAGTAGACGTTGAGGTCATTTTCCGTATTTAAACTATAGAAATAATAAACCTGAAAAAAATTGTAATGCCTGTATAAAGGAACAAAAAATTTCAAATAATGCTACCGAAAAACAAATGGATGCATCATGATATGCTGAAGATATGTACCTAACAAAGGTTTCAGCCCATTCCTGAGATGTATGAGTAGTGACATGCATAAAGTTATTGTGGTGTCGTTTTTCTCTCTCCTCGGCAGGCATATTTAAAGCATATGCGATTGAAGAAGCCACTTCCGTGATGTTCCACGGGTTTACCAAAATTGCACCTGCACCCAAAGACTGGGCTGCACCTGCAAACTATGTATATGAAACATGCATATTATTACTTCATCCATCCTAGAGATGCACAAGGCCAGGGATTATTCGGGTTGGGCGCCGACCTTCCAAGCCCATTCTTAGCAAGCAAAAAAAAGCTCGGACATTTATGGGCATGGGCTGGTCTTTGGGTGTGAAAATGGGTCTAATTGAGCTTTTCCAAGCCTGAAAGGCTTTGGAAATGAAAATAGGCCTGATCGGGCTATTAGGCCCAGTCTGGGCCTAGGCTTGGGGAGCTTTTCGGGCCCGAGCTTTTTGTGCATCTCTAATCAATCAAATAAAAATTGCAACATTCAAGTAAGCATGCAGTTTTTTAAGGGTAATGGGAGAACTAGGAAATAGAAGAATCAATAAAATCTTGTTGAACAAAAGGAACAACATCAATAGTTTGTTATGATGACAATGGGAGCTTAATATTTTTTGAAACAAAGGGGAACCTTACATTTTTCATGGGATGGAGGGAGTATTGATCTAATCATAAGAACTTATAGAAAAATTGGTAACAACAAAGTAACGAAAGAGAAGGTATCAGCAGGTAGCTGTTAAGGAGGAATACATACCTCACTTAAGATTAGAACCCCTTTCTTTGAAGCTTGGCAGGCCACAAATTCATAGCTCACAAGATTCATTCCATCCCTTAATGATGTAATAAGAGCCACATCTATCCAACAAAATCATAAAACTCAAGATCAATGTCACAAACCCTAATGGCCAACTATGCTAAAAAAACATTTTGATTCCTCAAACAATGACCATGAGGATTTAAGATAGAAGTGGCCTTCAGCCTGATGGCATTGGTAAAACTCTACAACGTTTAACTGGGTTGTTAGTTCCGTTTAAAATGAAATTCTTTTCGAATTATCAGGTCATGAGGTCAAGTTCTTTTGAAGATATCAGTGTTTCCCTGTGAGGTAACAGAAACAGTTGCTCTACTCCTTGGAGTAGAGGTCAAGTTTGCGTAAATCCCACCGCTGCCAAACCCCACCTCTCAGCGAGATATACTGTGTTAGTTTGGTTTGGTTTAGTGCATCATTGTGAGGTAGTAGAAAAGGCCTGTCAATTGAACTTTAAGGGAAGAAGCACTATTCAGCATCTATGACTCAAAGTCTCAAACTACAAATGTATAACATATGATATCACAAGACTCAGATTATACCAGTAATCGCGTATAGTGCACATAGCCCATGAAAGTCAAGAGATCGGTCCTGTATAAAAGAGAAGAATCACAGAACTTATAGACTAAATAATCTTTAGATATTATAAAAAGAGAAGATTTCCACAAAATCGCCATCTTGTAATTTTAGCATATTTGTCTTTCTCTCATTCAGGGCTGGGCCCGGGCCTTCCTAGCCCGTTTTCAGTAAATAGAAAAAAAGTGCAGCCTTAGGGTGTGAAAATAGGCCCATCAGCTTTTTTTCAAAAAAATTAAGCATGATTAGGCTTTAAGACCTAGCCTGGGCCAGGATTTTTGGGACCAGATTTGGGTTCAGGCTTCTTTGTGCATCTCTATCTAGCTTTTCAAATATTAACATATATATCTTTGTCCCTTTCACACACTTTTCATTGGCCATGGGTCGTCAAGGGAACAGCCTACCCTACGGTCAGCGAGCATCTTACCCCCGAGAACCCACCTTGGGGCCAGGGCTCATTCGGTTTGGTTTGTTGTAATTCCATTTCAACTCAGTTTTCCGCCATTGCACTAATGTAAGGTAAGTCTAAATAAACTAAAAAGACATACCAGATGATGAATCGGAACGGTTGTAAGGCTCCCAAATCTTCCATTAATTCTTCCAACAATCTCATGAACTTGACATGTAAGTTTTTGATCTTTTCATAAAACAAAAGGAGAGAAAGAAAGAATGCAATAAGAAAGAACAGCAACTACATACTACAACAATTGATCCATAACCCATAGAAAGAAAAAGAGAAATCAGTCAAACTATCAAAAACATACACTCAGGTACATCTGTTCTTGTTGGCACAGCAATCTGAAGCAACACTACTTTGTCATGCCAATCTGGATTTTCCTCTAAGAACTTTTCAAATGCCAAAATCTTTTGTGGAATTCCCTTAATCATATCAAGGCGATCGACACCCAACATTACCTGCAAATATAAGACCAGTGAGAACTACTTCATGTGTGATGAATCACTAATTCACTCTTTAAAAATTATTTGCATACTCCATTCATTAGATTTGACCATGTGTTTAATATTCTATACGATAAGTCAACTCTAAAATGATAAAATGAATGAGGGTGAATGATGATTTCATTTTAGTTTTACAGAAAGGGACACACTTTGATTTACCTTTCGACCGGCAAATCTCTCCTTGAGTTCCATTATATGATCCTTGATTTGAGGAAGTTGGATAGCTCGTATGAACCTACCAGGATCTATCCCGATAGGAAACTGTGGTTTAAAGTCAGAAAATGAAGGATTAGCAGCTTCAAGATCATTCCCTCAATCCCAAAATACATGTCCACAACGAAAAAGGCACACAGTTTTAGAAGTGTGAAATTATTACACTTCACTAATTAACCAAATGACAATTTTACCCTTAACAATAGAGGGAGCAATGAATTTCTCCATCTCATAATTAAGGGTAAAATTGGAAAGTGGATACTTATCTCGGGACAAGCTAAAATTGAAATGTGAGCACTTATCTTGAGATGGAGGGTCCAATATGTAAATGAACATTTACAAAAAAACGATGATCAGATGGTAATTGTACCGCAGCAACACGAGTAAGCTTCCCTTGATCCTCTACTCCATCAGGAGTACCCTCAAGGCCAAGAATTCGAGTACATGCACTCACAAAATGCCTTGCATAATCATAAGTGTGGAACCTGTATATATATATAGATATTCTTAGCAATGTGGCTTCATTTGTGATAAAAGCACATTTAGTACTTACCCAACTAGATCAGCTACAAGAACGGCTCTTAATAGCTCAGATCGAGATGGCAGTGTCCTATGAATCTCAGAGGAAGGAAACGGTGTGTGCAGAAACCATCCAACTTTCATCTTATTATTATGTTCTTTGAGACATTTAGGGAGAAACATCAGATGATAATCATGACACCAAATGACGTCCCTTTCTGTATAATGTTCATTGACAACATCAGCAAACATCTGATTGGCTTTCTTGTAAGCATCAAACTGCGATTGGAAACTACGAGTAGTTGCAAGCCGATCCTCTTGGGGAAGACCAAGATAATGGAAGAGAGGCCATAAGATATTGTTACAGTACCCATTGTAATAGAGATTAACAAGATCTTCATCAAGGAAAACTGGGATGCACCTCTGCATACCAACCACTTCTAGAGTAACAACCACGATTATTTTAATTTTAATTTTAAGTTAAAAATATTAAATATCTTTTATGGATATATGGTCAACCTTTTCAGCTAAAGCTTCAGTCAGTGATTTCTGCCCAATCTCATCCGGTACATTTACCCCAGCCCATCCAATCCATTTTGTATCGAAATCAGTTATACCTTTATCAAAAATTCAGTTAATTAGAATTCCAAAGAATTATTTCAAAATAAAGATAATTAACATCTGGAAGAAGGGGAGGGTTCCTTTAGGAACCTAAAACTGATTAGGAACCACTTACAGTGTGACATGTGGCATATTCATTAGTAATATGGGCGTGTTATTCATCATGAATCACATGTTCATGATGAATATGGAAGTGGTATTCATCATGAACATGTGATTCATGATAAATATTCATCCTGAAAAAGAGGGATACGTGGCGTGCGTTGTTGGGTTCCTAATCAATTTTAAGTTCCTAATGGAACTTATCATGGGCAAAAACAGATCCCACTCGTATAGAATCTTGAAAATGTTTAAAGGTAACATAAGAAAATGGAGAACTTACCCAAAAGTGCACTGACTAAGCCCCCCACGCTCATTTCAAGTTGCCAGGATGCCTCACCCTTTCTTGTTGCAGAAACAGGCAGACGATTGGCTACTACTAATAACCGCTGTCTGATTACTGCAGTTTCTGTTGTAAGTATCTGACCATTCCCAATGATACTATCTGTACCTCCATTTCCAAGAACATCTTCATTTTGAGATTTAAAAGATTTTCTTAACTCTCGTTCTTTCAAGAGTCTTTCATGCCTAGTCCTAAGTATGGCTGAAGTGTTATTGTAATCATCTACATGCATATCCGACTTCTGCAATTCATCCTGCAATTTAACAAGTTTGTTTCATGTTGAAATTCAGATACTCTACTAACTTCTAATCATGCTTTGGCTAATGTTTTTTAATTGATTAAGCATGGTCAAACATAACATGTAAATCAAATATTTTCTCAAAACAACACGTTCTTGCTGCCCAACTACTGATGCATCCACGGTCGTTAGTAACTGTGGGGTTTGAACTTAGGTTATCCTAAGCAAATTCCAACAACTCAAGCAGGTGAAAGTTTCTTATGAAGCTCATTTCATCATAGTAGTAATAGCCATAACAATTTTTAACATAAAATGGCCTTCATTTGAAAGACTCAAAGTGTAAAAGTTTTATGAATCACAATCACACATGTTAAATGATAGAAAGTTTTTATAGTATCAGCATCAACATTTCTCTGCATCAGTAACAGTTAACCATTCGGGTTACAACCATAACTTCCTGAATTTTAGATAATAATTCAAACTACTAGAATGTGTTGGAAAATAGCATAAAATCATTCAAAACCAGAACAAGCAACAAAAGCAACTGTAATCTTCTCCCTCAGATGATAGTGACATGGGATTCGGTTAACAATATCATTCCATTCAACATCAAGTGCCAAATTCACCAAAATCATGCAAGGAATTAAAGACTTCAAAAAGGAACAATTGATTTCTCGGTGGAAACAAAGAACCACGGGACAAGTAAGGTTCAAGCTCCTCCTCCGTCAACGAAATAATGGGATTACATGATTGCTCTGAGTACTATCGCAGATACCCAAAAAGACGATGTCATACCTTTTAGATGCTAACCAGCAAGGCAGCAACTAATACCTCACCACAAATGAAAATCACACTCCACTATTATGGCCCTTTATGTGCCCACCTAGATAAGCTTTACCCCACTGCCAATGTGTCTTCTTAATCCACATATAAGTAATTAAGTGCCTAAAGATCATTGGGCTAACTACCTCCGGTATGCACTTTTAGAACATTGGAAGTTACAATGTCATCAATTTAGAAAACTTGTGTAACAAAAGGGAAATTGAAAACATAACCAGTAGATATGTTGCATGTACTAGACAACCAAAATTTGAGATTTTCATTTTCAACCCTCTTGAAAATTTTCATTTTTAAACATAATTATAAATACAAAAATATACACATACACATACACATACACATACACATACACATACACATACACATACACATACACATACACATACACATACACATACACATACACATACACATACAAATTTATTAGGTTTTGGTTAACAACCATAACCAAAAACTGACCAGACTTTCTTCTCCTTAAACAATGACCAAACCAAATTGCTTGAACGGTTTGTCAGTTTTCAATCTATGTGTTGATCCCCTAAGAAAATCTCTCCTAACAATACTTTTTTTGTTACTGAATCCTTCATCCATCCTTGTTTATAGCATGTAATTTTTTTGTTCTTCATCTAGTAAACCCATATTCCTACTCATATGCTTCTTGCCTTTGGGAAGCTTCACTAGGTAACAGGCTTGATTTTTCAAAGACTTATGTCATCTTTCTTGGCTTCAGACCATTCAATTTCTCATCAATTGACACAACTTCCATAGAACTCTGACTCTCTCATTTAATAAGCAACAAATACTCATAATAAGTTGTATTTAGTAGACCATAAAATGACATCTTTCTAGTTGACTGATGACCATCTTACCTTTGCCTTGTGTAATTGAACCATAGTATAGATATCATGGGTTTGTAAGGGTGGAATATTAGCATCACGTCATCAGCTATATCATTCTGTTGGTCATTTACTTTTTTCAAGTTTTTGAATTCATGGTGAAGAAAGTATAATCCAAGTCCAAAGTAATTTATAGAGTGAACTCATAGTTTTCATGTTGCTCTAAGTTATCAAGTGTCTTATCCTCAAGGAACCATAAATTCCCTTTTTCAACATTCTTAATGTTAACTAGTCCACTAACTGCAACTATAATCTTCATGGCATAACCCAAGATGAATTTTCTCATCAAGTTTGGATCTCATATCTTTGGGTATGTAAGCATTTAATAACTCTCAAGTGGTTGTGGGAATCATCTTTCCTTGTCTCTACGATGTGCATGATATCATCTTCCCATCATTGATGCAGAAAGATTCATCAAGTGAATTGTTGTTTTCTTTGCTTTCCCCAAAAAGATAATAGAGATCTTAGTATAATAACATGATGATTAAGGAGTCTTTTGAGAAATTCTTCTCAATCCTAGTCACAATGATCACAGGTTCAAATCCAATGAGGAATAAAAATCCCCTTGTGGCCACGGAGGTTCAAATGCAGTGACTCAAGGCTATCTGCAGGTGGTGGCCTAGGATTAGTCGGCTCGCATAGCAGGTTGGATATCCAGGTTAATAAAAAAATGATCATTGCAATGACATTCAAAAGAACTCTGCATGAATATACTTCATTTTCGATCAGATTCTTCTTTAAACCTTTGCTTGAAAATGTTTGCACATCGTACTTGGTCTTTGGATTTAAATAGAAAAATGGCACACTTCTCTAAACAAATAATTGGTAAACTAATAGAGTTCAAATTCACTACCAATATATTGATTTTTCATGTAACGCTACATCAATTTGCACAAAATCAAATGATGAGTTTTTCTAGCAGAAACTCTTAAACGAATTTGTGTTGTTTGTCAGTCGAACATTCTACACATATTGTAAAGGCATACTATCAACCATAAAGGAGTTTCTGCTTCTGCATAGTAAGATGATACAATCCTCTTGATAGACCCCCTATTAGATTCACCTATGCAAGGAGGGATAAAAGGAATATTTAATTGAGCATCGCTGGCAGGATGGTTCTTTGAGGATATTTTGTATTGGCTAACCCGATCAGCATAACGAGGAATTCATAGTGCCCCTCGTGTGTGCAAAATGCTATTTTTGGTACGTCCTCGACCTTCATGTGAATTTGATGGTACCCCAACTTCATATCCAACTTTGAAAGTACTACTGTCCCAAATAGTTCATCCCACAATTAACCGACCACCAGTATGAGAAATTTATCGGGAGTGTGCATTTGTTGAGGGCTCAGTAGTCTACACAAAACCTCCAACTCCCATCTTTCTTTTTGACTAATAAGATGGGACTAGAGAAAGGGTTGCTGCTGTTCCGATGACCCCGACATCTAATATCTCTTTAATTAACAGTTTGATTTTGTCCTTTGATAATTGGCGTAGATAGCTACTTATCACCCACCTTAGAATCAACCAGTTCAACTATACCCGCCTTAATTCACTCAGCACCTTATCGTAGAGAGGGTCCTAGAAAGGCTTATTTCATTTTTCCCGCCAGTTAGTAAAAAAAGACTCCCGACTATGATTTTGGTCCTACAGTGGTGGATGATTTCGACAAGGCCCTCCCCTTTAACCGGAACAGCCAGATTACAAGTCTGATAGACCCAAACGATTGCAATCGTATTAATGGCAAAACCGGACTGATTACAATGAATAATCGAAGAAAAACTAGAATGGAATTCAAGAGCCCATTTCTCTCCTGCACGATCAAAAGATCACACAAAAACTGAATGAAATCCCCTGCCAAAACCATGCACCTGCCATATACCATTCTCCTTGCCTTCTTTATTATATTTCCAAAATTACCCCCTTGACTTTACTCTTTTTTTTATCTTTGGACACCTCCTTGAATACACTTTCGTAATTGGAGGCTTATCAATACTCCCCCCCCCCCCAATTACTCACCTTGTCCTCGAGGTGGAAGGTTGGAAACTGCTTACACATATCCGTGTACGACTCCCTCGTGTCTTCAAACTCTGGCAATCCCCGCCAACCAAGAAGGACTTCGATGTCATTATTGTTAAAATATCGTATACCTTTCAGAGTTTTTGGCTCTATTGGCAGCTCCCAAATATCTTTAACTGTTGCAAGGAGATATGTATGACTAAAAGGCCTTCGGCCTAGCGGTATCGTTGCCCTTGGCTTCCTAGGAGGTCAAGGGTTCAAACCTCACCAAAGGTGAGGAGGGTGTGTGAGTTTATTTGTTGCATTTGCTGTATATAAATATTATATACTTAAAAAAAAGATGTGTATGTGTTCCATGATCGCCAACAGCTTCTTTCAGTTGAGACACATGAAAAACAGGGTGGATGCTACTCCCTTCGGGCAATTGTAAACGGTAAGCCACCTTATCAATACATTCAATGTCAAAAAAAGGCCCATAAAAACGAGGGCTAACTTAACATTTCGATGAGTGGCCAAAGACATTTGTTGATACAATCGTGTCTTTAAAAATACCCATTGTCCAACCGACAGCTCCACATTCCTTCGATGTTTATTTGTCGACGCTTGCATTCTTTGTTGATCTTGGATTAAATGCGTATGTAGCTCTAACAACATTCTATCTCTTTCTAAAAGCGTCTGATCCACATTAGAATTAGAGACCTTCATATCCGCATACGGGGTTATTTCGGGAGAATTTCAACCATACAATATTGTGAACAGGGTGGCATATATGGGATGACGTATGGAATGAGGTATTGTAAGAGTATTCAGCCCATGGCAGCCAAGTAACCCACTTTCGTGGCTGTGCACTGGTGAAACAACGTAGGTAAGCATCAATTCCACAGTTTACCACTTCAGTTTGCCCATCACTCTGAAGGTGGTAAGTCGTGCTAAATCTGAGTTTGGTTCCTATAATTGCCAAAGTTCCTGCCAAAAATGGCTAAGGAAGACTTTATCGCGGTCCGAGACTATAGACCTTGGCACCCCGTGAAGACGCACGATCTCCTTCACAAAATTCCCGCTACTTTAGGTGCTGTGAAGGGGTGTTTAAGAGCTATAAAGTGGCTTCTCCATTGATGTGACCCTGAATTTTCATAGTCCTCGGTGATGATAAACCCACCACAGAGTTTAGTGACAGCTCGATTGGTGGAATCACAGTGTCTTGACAGCCCTCAATTTCATTTAGGTTAAGCTCGCCATCTATAGGATCATCTTGGAGCAAGAGAATCTGTAATTCCTTGTTTTTACACTTGTGACCCACTTGATATTTCTCATCATATTGAAAGCAAAGTCCTTTCGCTCGTTGTCTTGAAGCTTTGTCTCTGTTAATTTCCTGGTCACTCCAGATTCGGGCCATAATATGGATGTTGTACTAGTACCTATACTCTTCCTCAACAAGGATGGAGCACTAGTGACCGTGGTACTGTAAGTTGGAGTTGGACGGAGACTTGAACCGATGAAATTAGGGGAGGGTTTGTACGATATATTATTCCCTTTAACGCTTCCAGTCAAACAAGAATTTCGATCCTCAACCAATTGGGCCGTTTCCATTATTTGGGCTAATCCTTAAGGCCTCAACAGTCTAACCTCAGCCTGTATGTTGGGCTTGAGTCCATTCATGAAATTACACTCTAACACTCGATCTGGAAGATCTGATAGGGAAGACGCTAAAATTTTGAAGGAATGACAAAATTCACGAAGGTTACCTGTTTCTCGAAACGCTAAAAGTTGTTCAAGGGTGGAACCACCGTCAGTGAGCCTGAACCGATTGATAATCTATAATTTTAAATCATCCCATAGCAAAATTGGATGGCGACCATCAGCCAAGTTGAACCATGCGAGAGCCTCACCCTCCATACATATACCCGCTGTGGCTACCTTCTCTTTATCATCAAACATTGAAGTGCAAAATAGCGTTCGGCTCTGAAAATTCACCCATCCGGATTAGTCCCATTGAACATTGGTAACTCTACACGTTGTAATCTCCAATCGGATGGAATAAATCCTTGAGTTGTTGGTTTCAGGGAACTAATTGTCTCTGGAGAAGAAACGGAAGTAAAATTAACATCACTTATTGGTTTCGTAACCGAACTGCCACCAGATCCAAGTGACTGATATGAACCACCAGATGTGCCCGCTTTGCTCGATGGAGATAAGACCTTCGACCCTTGTTGTATCAACGTATCCAATTTCCCCATAATGACTTGAATCCCTTGATCTAAATCATCGATTCTTTTGGTGTTCCCTGTCAAATCTGTGGAAATTGCTTGAACACTTTTTTCTAATGCGTCCTATTGATCGGCCTGAGATTTGGAAGGCATGGTCAATCAAATAGGTCGCTCTGATACCAATTTGATAGACCCAAACGGTTGCCATCATATTAATGGCAAAATCGGACTGATTACAATGAAAAATCAAAGAAAAACTAGATGGGAATTCGAGAGCCCATTTCTCTCCTACACGATCAAAAGATCACACAAAAACTGAATGAAATCCTCTGCCAAAACCACACACCTGCCATATACCATTATCCTTGCCTTCTTTATTATAATCCAAAATTACCCCCTCGACCTTACTCTTTATTTATCTTTGGACCTCTCATTGAATATACTTTCATAATTGGAGGCTTATCAAGGTCATTCCCTACCTCAAAGAATATACAGACTGACTTGTAGAGACCCTCTATGTAGTTGTCTAYCTAGGGTGATCGATCTACATAGAGACGCCATCAGTTTGGAGCACGAGGCTAGTAGAGCTTGTTGCAGAGGAGATTTGACTGAACGAACTTTGGCAAAAATAAATGAAACGGGTTGGCGAAATGACGTGAGAACTCTGTGTTATTAAGACAATGTTGTGCTCCATGTCCCTTCTAGGTGGTAATCCATTAGGTGTACTAAAAACTTTAGTTCAACTCTCCAGGTCACTATTCCCTCTTATGCTTGGTGGTATCCAACAAACCCAAATTTTACCAGCACCCCTTGTTTTTCAAGTTTTAAAAATCTACTCATTGCTTTCATCATGATGAGTTTCTTACCCAAGGATGGATCACCCTTCAGTGTTATCGATTCTGACCTGATTTTGAATTTTAGCACTTGCGTCTTCTAGTTTATGTAAGTAGCCTCCAGAGTTTCCAAACCCTGTATACCCAATATGGTGTCCGAATTTCCAAGTTCCATGGAAAGGAATTCTCTAATGACATCAATACTTAACAATATGAGTTTGATCCCTTTGTACACCCCTTCTCCTTTAACCGAGATCCTTATAGCCATGGTAATCCCATACGTCATACGTCGTTGTGTTAGTAACGGGTGAGTGAAGGCGTGCAACTAGGGCCTTTGAGATGAAGTTGTGGGTTTCCCCATTGTCGATTGACACGGCTACTTTCTGCCCCTCAATAATCCCTTCCATCTTCATGGTTTTTAGGTAGATGAGTCACACAATCAAATTCAAATGCACTTCCACCTTCGGTTCCTCTTCTACAACTCAAGTGTTGGGTCTTCCATTTCCTCGACTCCACTCTCTTCTTTGTCTTGACTTTGCTCTTCTTGTAGCAAGGACATTAACTTCTTTCCTTCGGCACTTGTGCCCCGGTGCATATTTCTCATCACACCAGTAGCATAGGCTCTATGACCTCCTCTTCTATAGCTCATTATCCGATAATCTTAGGTATTCTTTCCCCTTGACCCCATCATTATGTTGGAAGGCCCCTCTCCTGTCCACAACAATTTACAGTCAGAACTTCAACCCCCATTTTCTTTGTCCCCCACGAACTTTGATTTCTACTTTGTTTAATTCAATTCTAGACGCTCGTTCTATGGCTTCACTCAAATTGATTGGGGACATCATCCTAACCTCCACTAGGATTACCGGGTTCAACCCATCGCTAAATTGATTGGTGACATCATACATGTGTGTAATTTGTAAACACACACATAGTCAGCAGGTATACAAACTCACACAAGAATGATTTGGGGGAAATATATAACCAAAAGGATAATCTACAGGGGTGAGTGAAACTGAAACAAACTAAGAAATGAGAACTGAGAGTAGTTGAATTCCTCCAACAAAAGAAAAGCTAGAGAGAGGGGAAAAACAAATCACATTTAAAAAAAAATCGTACTCGTATTTAAATTGAAATTTATGATTTCAAACAGATTTGATTTGAGCTCAAGATTTGAAGAACTCAAATCAAGAAGAACAAAAAAACCAATAAAAATATGAAGTGGGTTTGCACAAAAATTCACAAACACAAAAAGTATGAATTTGAGAAAAACAAATAAGGGTTCATCATGTCTACCAAATCGTGTTGCAGAATGGCGATATCTTCATATGATCGAATGCTCTTCATTCTCATGTCCTGAAATTCAAGACCCTACAACGATTGTTGTTAAAAATACTGAATAGTTTATCCATCTAGATAGAAAGTGATAAGGAAACATAGAAATATGATGTTGGGAACATTCTGTGCCGTTGCCGCAAAATATTTCCTTGTATAAATACAAATAGAAAGCGGTGAATTATTTAAAAGGGAAAATAGGAGGAATGTGATAGAAGATTGAAGGGTACGGCTAATCGGCTATGATGGGGTGGAGGATCTTTATACTTCCCATGACAGGGCTTCTAAAGCCATGCACAGATGCTGACGCCGAGAAACACAATTTCTAAACGGACCCCCTCCCTCACAATCTTTCATTTATATATAATTTAGTTAATAACTTACACTTTACACCCTTAAATTTATTTAATTAGTTTACTTTATACCTTTTAGTTTTCTATTTTTCATTTTATACTTCGATCTTATTAACATATATAATTATATATTAACTAAAATATGTTAAAAAATACATTTTAATTTTAACAAGTTACATCATTATAATCGTCTCATCGATACCTTCGAAACTAGTCCAATATTGAATATTTTTGGATTTAATTTATTTAATTAGCTTACTTTATACCTTTTAGTTTTCTATTTTTCATTTTATACTTCGATCTTATTAACACATATAATTATATATTAACTAAAATATG